CCGGTTGGATCAGCAGCAGAGGTGAGATGATCCAAGGTTTCAGAAGGAGAGGGAGGGGCGTAGTTGGAAGGAATGAGATGAAGAGATTTGTAGAGGCCCAGATGTACTGGGGGAAGAGGAAGAAGGAGAGAGGAAAAGAGGTGGATGTAAGCGGAGAGTTGGGTGAGAGAAGAGGATTGATCCTGGGAGGAAAGGGATCGATATCGGGCCGAGACAGCACAGAGTTCGTGCTCCAGGACGAAGGTAACCTTGGAAGTAACAGTCTGGGCTCCGACAGTAATACCCTTTACATCAACATCGACCAAGTTCGAAGGAAGAAGATAGATACCTCGCGAAATTTGGACTCGGGATTGTTGGTTTTCACCGAACACTTTGAAGTTCCCTTCGCGGAGCACTCTCCACAAACACCACCAACTAAGTTGCATCAATATCGAACAGGAAGAGTAGGAAGACTCACGAGGACCGATACAACCGACACGAAAATCTTCTCCACCATCGAGACGACGCTGGCAATCGGAGCAAAGCTCACCCTCGAGACGGACAACAGCGCCATTCTTGTTACGAAGTCGCCAACCTTGGGCCAAGCGATCAAGCTAACAGTTAGAATTCGGTGGAATACGAAGGAGAAAAAGCTCACGGCGTTACCAAACCACTTGACAGTGGGCTTGATGGCCCCAGTCTCGCGAAAGCGATCGAGGGCTTCATCCTTCAGAGCGTGACGAACAGAGGAGAAAGAAAGGCGGGCCCAGAGGGTAGCTGACGAGTCAGAAACGCACAGAATTCTGTAGAAATCTCACCAATTTCCGAGTCTTTTCGAGCATCCAGAGCCTTTGCAAGTTCATCATTGACCGGAACCTTGCGAGGGGCGTGAAAAATGGTTTCGAGTTCATGGGGAACCTCGACAAGCCCTTCGGAATCAGAAGGTGGCACAGGGGACTTATTACCAGGAGAATTTTGATTTTCAACGATGGTACCGTGTTCGGACTCGACAGATTTCGCAGGAGATGGGTTCTCACCAGTGGTAGATGGCCCTGCCCCCGCTTCGAAGTCGATATATTGCTCGATGACCTCGTCATCGAGAAGAGACGATTGTTGGTCGCGAGAAGGGCCGGATTGATATCGATCCTTAATGGTGTCGAGAGCCCTTCGAGAAGCGTCAACCAATGGAGGTTGAGAGGGAACTGGCGCTTGGGAAGTAATTCTCATTCTTTTCGTTTGACGCATGAGAAGTTCGGGATCGACGTCGGGGAGAATGGCCACAGTAGAGGCCCGAGTTTGACGAGAAGAGATAGACGAGGACAACTAATCTCGTCAGCCAGTGATAAACAGGAGGAAGTGCATCGAATTCGAAGAGAATTACTTACAGTACGCTTAGACATGCTCACAGACAGGTCAGAGTTGGAAGGATGCTCTAAGATATGAGTAAGATATGGATGGATAATGATAGATAAGTAAAAAGAATGACAAACAAGAGGTAAAGAGAGAATGAGGAGGAAAGAAGAGAAAAAAGACGGGGAGGTAACTTGGTCAGTAATTTCTCGATCACATTGGAGGTCCGTGCGGGTGACGCGTTTTCATGGCAACCGTCACACTAGCGTGGGTATGATGTCAGGGCGCACCAAAGGTGTCTAAGAACAATCCATGTGCATCACCTGGTTACAGGGTTCAGGATCCTCGGCGAGGATCCTTGAGACAGGGGGGGAAACTTGTTACGGGGTAACAACGAATCGAGGGAACTCTATCGAGTTCGACGGATTAGGACAGAGGAAAGCGGGAGTTGGAGGCAGTGCTGCAGTAGGTAGGGACGGGTTTTCCCCTTTCGAGATTTTCCCCACTGGGTTTGCTCAAAGCGGTTTTTCACCTGTCCGAGTATGTACATGGACGCTTGCAGTAGGACTGAGAAGAGGAGACGGATACCTGTAGACAGTATATAGTACAATCAGCAAAGTACCAACTTTGCTGATTCTTCAATATCATTCTTTGGCTACATCGATTGCAGAGGAGACACGATCCATTAGCACCAGAGCCCCTAGATTTCCACGAGACCTCCATCGAGTTCGACCCAACCTGCGACCTAGTCGTCGTGTTTCCAGTACCGTTACAAGATGGTAGTTACAAATGGTAGCTACAGGTGGTCAAAGGTGAGTGTCACGGTCCTGTCCTGGACAGACCTCAAGAAATCAAAGACAGGTGGACTGCGACTGTTTAATTAGCTTGGACAACGACGGTTAGTATGTTGTCCGTAGACTTGTGATGTGGTCGGACGGCTAAGGTGACTTGCGAAGGATCCGGGCAGGTCAAGATGATGAAAAGGACGTGTGTGATGGCGTAGACAGGTGTAATGATGATGAGGGATGTGTAGAGTGTAAGTAGTATGTCAAGAGGTCTTTTGTGAGTGGCAAATAATATTTTGATCCTTGAAGAGAAGAAACTACAAAGTAGATAGGTCTAGTATTTATACTTTTTGAGGAAGTCCTGCTCTCCGATTAATGTCGCCTCAAATCAACTTGTATTGACTTGTATTGACTTGTATCGACTTGTATCGACTTGTATTGACTCCTATCGACTCATATCGACCCATATCGACTCATATCGACCCATATCGACTCATATCGACTCATATCGACTCATATCAATTCAGATCGACTCAGATCGACTCAGATCGACTCCAATCGACTCGGATCGACTCGGATCGGTGGAGCTCAGGGTTTTGGGTCAGGACCCTGCACAGGCTGGGTCGTGACAGTGAGAAACGGTACTCGCAGACGGTAACTAGTTTTAGTCTATATAAACTTGTACTTTTCAGTAGTTTCTTCAGTTATGAATCTCCTCTTTATTTGTCAAACACAGTTGGTCCAAGCCCAGCACTTCTAGTCCTTGCTATCCCTGTCCCCCTTGACGTCATCACTTCATTCTCCGTCATCTCTGTTACTCTCTTGACGAGCCAGAGACTTCATTGGGTCATAGTCCCATTCTCAGGTTACAGTCCTGTATTCTGTTGTCCTTTGTGACAAGCCCCACCCCTTGACACATATGTCACGGCCATCGAATAACTTCTTTCCAATAGACCGACGGTCGACAAACCTCGGCTAACTTGATGATTCTAATTCGATGTCTCACCCAACCAGGAGGGCGCAGACATCGAAAGGAGTGTAACTACGGCGAGCTTCGGCGTAGTTACTCTATCTGGGGGTTTTCTCTGATGGTGATGTATCTTGGTTTGTATGGTAGCTATCTCTATCAATCTTTCACTACTGACAACAATCAAGGATCGCTGAAGGACTTCAGCGATCTTCTCAGCTAATAGTATCCACCACTCCTAGATGTTCATCCAACCTATCCGCGCTTCGACGCACTTCGGCCAACTTCCCCGAACCATCGAACACCCGATCCTCTAATCCTCGTCTAACTTCGCCGTACCTCTGCTTCCTCCATCCCTAGTCAATCTAACTTCGCCTAACCTCGTCGCACCTCGGTCCCCTTCACCCTTAACCTGTCTAACTTCGCCTAACTTTGTCGTGGTTGGTCTTAGATGTCCTAGGATACGTGTAAACCGAAGAGGTCGAGAATTGATGGAGGTTTGATGGTCAAAGGAGGGTCGTTGTTGGTGGGATTTAGGGGTGTCACGACGTAGTTCGTGACAACATACCACCACTGCTGAGTCAAAACTCCCACTGCAAAAGCATGCTCAGTTCTCTGCTTTTTTCACTTAACCTGCTCCCACACTTGTGTTCAGGTCAATCACCCTCTTTTCAGGCCCAAAATCACATACCTGTTTGGTATGCAGTCATTTCGTTTTTTCACCTGAAGTAATGCCCGAACTGGGACCCCAATCTCTTCGCGTCTCTTCGGTCCACTTCGGCTCACTTCGCACCCATTCCTCACACTGTGTCATGGCCGTCAAATAACTTCTTTTCAAAAGACCGACGGTCGACGAACCTCGGCTAACTTGATGATTCTAACTCGATGTCTCACCCAACCAGGAGGGCGCAGACGTCGAAAGGAGTGTAACTACGGCGAGCTTCGGCGTAGTTACTCTATCTGGGGGTTTTCTCTGATGGTGATGTATCTTGGTTTGTATGGTAGCTATCTCTATCAATCTTTCACTACTGACAACAATCAAGGATCGCTGAAGGACTTCAGCGATCTTCTCAGCTAATAGTATCCACCACTCCTAGATGTTCATCCAACCCATCCGCGCTTCGACGCACTTCGGCCAACTTCCCCGAACCACCGAGCACCCGTTCCTCTAACCTCGTATAACTTCGCCGTACCTCTGCTTCCTCCATCCCTAGTCAACCTAACCTCACCTAACCTTGTCGCACCTCGGTCCCCTTCACCCTTAACCTGTCTAACTTCGCCTAACTTTGTCATGGTTGGTCTCAGATGTCCTAGGATATGTGTAAACCAAAGAAGTCGAGAATTGATGGAGGTTTGATGGTCAAAGGAGGGTCGTTGTTGGTGGGGTTTAGGGGTGTCACGACGTAGTTTGTGACAGTCACCCCCTCCTTAGCAGCGAACGTCCTCGTGAGCACATTGTTCATATTTGGTGGGAGAAAAGGACTCAGCAGCAGTGAGTACCCTCTCCCGGCACAACATGTCGTCGCAACGTTGCAGCACAATCATGTAGGCATGTATAACCTTGCCTAACTTCATCGATGCCCCTCGACCTGTCCAGGGTCGGTTCGTTGGACGTGAGACACCGAGTACGAGGGTCCCCGAAGGTCATCGATGATTGTCAGCAAATCCCTAGCATTTATGAATATCAGACACGTAGCGTGGGAACTTTTGATCGTTGTGACGATGTTTGTTGTTGTCGTGACAACATGTTATGCGAAGTTACCCGCTCCCTGACGACGAGCGAGTTCAGCGATTATACTAAGTACCTAGCCCTTCGGCGCTGTTCGTCTTTCTTCCCCAGTACTCTATCAAAATTGCACTTCTACTACTTCACCCCTTTAACGTATTTCTTTACTAAAACTTCTTGAACTCTTAACAGAATGGCTTCCGACCGAGACCTAAACATTTGTAAGGCCTTCGAGGAGACTCTCCACAGTACCCGTGAGTTCTACTCTTAACCCATACCTTCCCCTTAGTCGTCAACGGTAGCTGACATTAGTCGCCCGCATGTCTGCCCCTTCTCCCCGCCAGGTTTCTTCTGTCGGCCTCGGATCCTTAGCCATCACCGATGGCTCTGTTTCCCCAGCTGCAGCTGGTACGTCTTTCGGTGTGGCGCCGGCGCCATCTTCGGTTCCCGCGTCCCTCGGCCAGCATGAGGCCCAACCCGCTCGTGCTGGCCAGTCACCTACATTGGGTTCAACCGCTACTGCCGTTGAGATTGGTAGCGACGAAGATGAGGATATGGGGAAGGTAAAACGGTGGTAGCCGACGATGACATGGAGGGAGGTGAAGATATGCCGGAAGATGGTGGTTCCGAAGTGCCGGATACATCTTCGGTAGCAAGGATCCGGGCTATGAGTCATACGTCCCAGCTTATACAAGTACCTATGTGTTAGCGCTGAATCTCACAGCCATCCGCGTTGATGAAAGAGGTTCCCCCAAAATATATTTGCGTTCTCAGAACTCCAACGGCTATATGCGCGTGGGGTATTATAAGGAGCAAGCCCGAGTGAAGGCTGAGAAAAAGCAGAAACACAGCCGAACTTCGAGTAATGTTGATGACGCTCCTCTTCCTTTGGCGAAAAGGACCAAAGTTGCTCGCCCTTCGTCCTCAACCTCTGGCCAAGATGGATCCCTGGAGAAAGGTGGTAGTCGAACAGTGCGGGACGAAAATGCATTGTGGAACCTGTTTGCTGCTGAGCGTGACCGATGGGAAGTGTGTAGTGTGGAGGAATCGTGTGATCGTTACCGGTATGTTTGTTCTAAATCCTATGGTGTACCTGCTAATCAACAGACGTGAGATCATCACTTATGGGAGGAAAAGATGGCCCTGTCTTCGCCCGGTCAAACCTCACAACCGCGGTTCTCGATGTGCTTCTTGCACCACCGGCCCCTGCTCCTTCTTTCCTGCCAATCTTGCCCGAGGATTCCCTCCTCGCTCCACCGACCACTCTCCCCTCCCCCCTCTTATCAATTGGGAGAGCCCCTCCTCAAATCCGTTCGTGGTCCAATCCACTCCGGCCACCCCGTCTCCCTCCAACCGGCGCCCCACTCCCATCGCCAATGATGACGGCTTTCCCTCTCCCGTTCCTTTGGTGAACTTAGCCGCTTCTCGTCCTTCTCCTCCGACAGTCAGCTCATCTCGACGCCTGCCGGCCGATGAGGATATCGAACGTCTCACTCGTTCCCCGTCTCCTGCTGTTGCTGGCCCTTCTCGCCCGACACCCTGTCGTTATCCTGGGTCTAGGCCCACTTCCACTCCTTCGGCTGGCCCGTCCCGTCCTACCCAAACCCGTCCCACCCCTACCACTCGCCCTTCGCCGACTCCTACTCCAAGTTTACCCCCTGCTCATGGGACTCGCAGCCGCCAACCATCTCTTCCTCCTTCCTCCGGTCTCCCCAGTGCTCTCTCTCCCGTCAAAACCCCTTCGTCCAAGTCACCTAAAGGAAAAGGGAAAAAGAAAGCTGTATCCTTCGACCAAGAAGTAGAGGAGACAGAGGAGAGTACTCAGCAATCAGAGGAGATTCCTCCATTAGTCCACCCCTTCATCTCTGAAGATCCTCGTGTCCCTGATGAACAGAAACAATTGGCTACCTTCCGTTCCACCATCATTGGTTTGACTACTGAGCTCCAAGCCCATAGGAAAGATACGTCCGCCCTCCTCGAATACAACATGAGACTCGTATCGGCCCTTAATGCTCTGTCAACTTCCATAGCGACGGTGGTGAATTCGTCCGATGTTGGTCCTTCCTCTTGCACTGAGTTAGCTAGGGTATCTCGTGAACAGTTAACGTCAATGAACGACTTTCGCCGGAAGTTGTATGAGACACCCTTCGTCCTGAACCCTGTTGAGTTCGAGCTTCCACCGACACTCGATTGGCTAAAGACGTCAAAGCCTTCTTGGCCCAGCTCTCAGGATGCCGCCTTTCTCGTTGTCCTAGTTCTCCCGCTCGAGTGTCTCCGTACCCTTCGGCAACTGTGGAAGTCTCCCAGCCTCACCGCTGCTCGTGATCCTTCGCTTCACGCAGCTCACATTGGGGCTCTCAATGCTGCATGGAAGGAGGCTCGGGCAATACGACGCGTAGGACAGACAAACCGGGGGAACAATTCGGGGGATAGGCAGGAGGTAAGAGAGCAAGAGGAAAGAGGACAAGGTTTGGTGAGTTGTACTTAGCTGATGTGGTACTCCGTTGTATGAACTACTGTCTCATCCGCGATCGACCTGCTCTTCCCTTCTTCGGCTTATTCGGGTGAAGTTCGTGGAACTTTGCCAATGCTTCGTCAGCACCGTCTACATTCTCTGCTGGTTCCCATGAAACCAAATCATCCGTTCCTTCGTATCCTAACCATTCTACCAGGTACTCTAACTTCCCTGACCTCTTATTTATTCTCGAGTCCACAATATCCTTTACTTCCCACAACTCTCCTACGTTATCTACCTCTATTGGGCCAGGTGGCTCAGCCTGCTGACCAGGGAACACTGGAGGATGGTAGGGACGGAGCAAGGAGACATGGAATACATCATGGATACCTGCCATCGTTCCCGGTACTTCCAATTTACAGGCATGAGAACCTACCTGCCGTACTACCTTGTACGGCCCACTTTGCTTAGCATCCAACTTCTTCATTGGTCTCTTAGTCTTGATATTCTCTAATGACAGCATAACTAGGTCACCTTCCACGAAGTTCGGCGTAGTTCGGTGTTTCCTATTATATCCTTCGGCGTACTTCTCATTAGCTTTCTCGATTCCTTCTATACATTCCTTATGTATCTCCGTCAAATCCCTGACCACCATTGTAGCAGCAGGTACTTCGACATCACTAGTCTTGATCTCTTCAGCCCACCCAGGATGGTACCCGTAGTTCGCATAAAATGGAGTCTTATCTATCGTGGAATGATGGGTGTTGTTGTAGGCGAAGCTCGCCCGTCCGAGCAGCTTCGACCAGTCGTTCTGCTGATAGGAAGTGAAGATTCAAAGGTATAGCTCCAGGGATTGATTGGTTCGTTCGGTCTGTCCATCAGTCTGTGGATGATACGCGGTAGAAAGATGTAGTTTTATCCCGAGACTATTGGTTAAGTTCTTCCAAAACTTCGAAGTAAACTTCAACCCTCTGTCTGATACTATACTCTCTGGTAACCCATGCTGGGCCACCACATAGTCCATTATCAGCTCTGATAATCCAGCTGCGATTAACTTCGTCGTAGTTGGGATAAAAACTGCCCATTTGGTCAACCGGTCGACCACCACCAGGATGGAGTTGTATCCCCAAGAATTTGGTAATTCTTCGATGAAATCCATAGATATGCTGGACCATGGTTTGGTCGCAACTTGTAGTGGTTTGAGCTCACCATGCGGTTTCTGTCTGTTCGTTTTAGCTCTCTGGCATACAGCACAGCCACCAACATAGTCCTCAACATCTTTACGAACACCTACCCAGACATAATCCCTCAGGACCAACTCTAGGGTTTTGGCTACCCCAGGATGTCCAGCCAGAATCGAGTCATGCCGGGCCTTCATAATCTTAAGCCGAGCATCGGCGTAGTTCGGCACATATATTCGACTATTGAATGTAAAGAAACCCTTCGCTGACCAACCGGCTCGAAGTATTAATGGTGACCGCGAACTCCGCCGAAGTTCGGTTACTGACCTGGGTTCCTGTACGTTATCTCGACAGGTATCGTGAGAACACTCAGCACATATTAAGCCAAGCATCTCCACTCTGACTTCCTCTATTTCCTGCTCTGCCTTCTGTCCTTCAACGAGGTCTACCGGTTCGATCAAATCACTGTCCTTCAGCTCTTTAGTTCCTTGCAAAGCTCGAAGAAGGTGTTGTAACCCAGACGTAGTCTGATCAACTTCGTCGAACTTCGGCAAACCTTGGATAAGGTTACTCTCCTGCACCATCGTACTTCCCTTCCCCGAATGGTAGTTGGCTCTCCTTGAAAGCCCATCTGGTAGCGTAGCCTGTTTCCCAGGCCGATATACCATTTTAAACCTGAAGTTAGAGAGCTCTTTGACCCACCTGCCCTGTCTAGAGCTTAGCTGCTTCGGTTCCATCCAATAGGTCAGGTTCAAATGATCCGTGAGAACTATCGTTTCTACCTGTAGCAGTAAGTGTCTCCTTCTCCTGAAAGCTTCAACAATAGCTAATAATTCCTTCTCCCCTACTGTGTAGTTCAGCTGAGCCGCTTGAAAAGCCCCTGACTCTATGGCTACTGGATGCTCCTGACCTAATTTGTTTACCTGCGATATTATGAAACCCCAGCCGAAGAACGATGCATCTGTCTGTAGTAGTGTCTTCAACGAAGGATCAAAATGAGCCAAGACCGGAGCCCTACACATCCTATCCTTCAATTCTTTAAAGGCTTCTTCCTGTTCGACTCCCCAAACAAAAGGTACGTCTTTCCTTGTGAGATCATTGATTGATTCAGCAATCCGGGAGAAGTTGGGAACAAAACGACGGTAGTCGCTGACCACTCCCATAAATCCCCTACTCTCTCTGAGGTTCTTAGGACGAGGGAAAGACACCACAGCATCAACATACTCTGGATTACTTGAAACCCCACTCTGAGAGACGACAAAACCCAGGAAGATCACAGAGTCTCTTTCAAATTCGCACTTACTAGCCTTCACGAACAGGTTCGACCTTCGGAGAACTTCGAATACCTTCGCCGTAGTTTCCCTCAATTCTTCCAACGTTTGACCATAGATGAGTATATCATCTATATAAACCACTACTCCTTTTCCTAGCAATTCTCTGAAGCTTTCATTCAGGAAATGCTGGAACACAGCAGGAGCATTTCGAAGCCCATCACGGACAACAAGGGATTCGAACATACCGTATTGGGTCCTGAACGCTGTCAGGTGTTCGAATCCTTCCTTTACTCATAAGAGCTGGTACGCTCCAATGAGATCTAGCTTGCTGAAATACCTCGCTTTTCCCAGCTCCTCAGTTATCTGCCCGATCAGAGGTAATGGATAAGCGTCTGGTACCGTAACTTCGTTTAACTTTCGATAGTCAATGACCATTCGCCATTGCCCTTTTATTTTCTTCGGCACCAGGAACATTGGTGATCCGTACGGCGAGTTACTAGGTCTGATTTGTCCGGTCGATAATTCGCGATCTAGGATATCTCTCAGCGCATTTCTCTGATCTTCTCCAAGAGAATAGAGGGGAGCCACTTTCAAGTTTGCCCCCTCCTTCAGATCAAACTCCAGGTCATACTCCCTACAAGGGGGTAATTCTTCACCTCCCTTCCTCGGGTTAAAAACATCAATGAACGAGTGGTATTTGTCACGGCCGTCAAATAACTTCTTTCCAATAGACCAACGGTCGACGAACCTCGGCTAACTTGATGGTTCTGGCTCGATGTCTCACCCAACCAGGAGGGTGCAGACGTCGAAAGGGAGGTAACTACGACGTACTTCGGCGTAGTTACTCTATCTAAAAGGGGTTTTTACTGATGGCGATGTATCTCGATTTATATTGTAGCTATCTCTATCAATCTTTCACTACTGACAACAATCAAGGATCGCTGAAGAACTTCAGCGATCTTCTCAGCTAATATTATCTACTCCTCCTGATTGTTCACCCAACCCTCTTGCGCATTGACGTACTTCAACGCACCTCGCCCAGCTTCCCCGAGTCCCCGGCCGTACTTCGTTCCCCTTCGACTAACCCCGCCTAACATCACCGCACTTCTGCTCTCATTGCCCCTACCTACCCTAACTCCGCCTAACTTCGCCGTACATCGGACCCCCATTGTCCCTACTTAGCCTAACTCCGTCTAACTTCGCCGCACTTCTACTCCCATCGTCCCTAGATACCCCTAACTCCGTCTAACTTCGCCGTACTTCGCCGTCCTTATGCTCCAGACCCCTGCATACATTATTCACCTGTTGTACTTCGCCGTAGTTGGTCTCAGATGTCCAAGGTTACGTGTAAGGTGAAGAGGTTAAGGCGTAATAGAGGTTTTGATGGTCAAAGGAGGGTTGTTGATGGTGGGATATTCAAGGTGTCACGACGTAGTTCGTGACAGTATTGTTCAGGAACAACCTGATACAACTCCTCCTGTTCCTCCGGACTCAGCTCATCCTGGTCATCTTTGTCTCGGAGGTCTATCGCGTCCGTCGGAGTTGGTAGCCCTATGGCAGCCAACCTCGCCAAACTTGGTGGTGGTGGTGGGGTTGGGATGGGAAATTTCACTGTGTTATCCGTTCCATCAAGAATAACACCTTCTCTCCTCATCCAATCCCACCCTATCACTACGTCTGCGTCGCAGAGAGTAGTCACATCGAGACAAACAGATCGCGCTTTGGCGTCCTTCGTCAAACCAAACATAACTTCGACAAACTCGGTAATGGGTCCAGCAACACTCACCGAGCCGTCGAACATATGAACGGGTACACCCACCGGGTATCGTCTCCTTTCTACACCTATCTCCGCCGCTGCCCTGGGGCTGATATATGAACAAGTAGCCCCAGTGTCCCAGAGCGTGGTTAGTTTGGTTCCATTGATGAAAATGTCCGTTTTTGGTTGATCCTTTGAAGTGGAAGGGATAAGAAGGTGACTATCGATGTTGCATAAACAAGGGATACTGAGTGGTGTATTTTTGTATTCACAATTCTCTTGCTTCATCAGGTGTGTCTCTTTTCTGGTTTTAGGAATGGTGGCCGAGAGAATATGGCGGACCCGCCGAGCCTCGCCTACTGCGACAGGTCCTCGTCTTTCCCCTGCTCTTCTTCCCCTTCCCAGTCTCCTGTTACCGCGTTCAGATTCCTCCTCTGTCCAAGAGGTACTGCGTTACCCCCCAATCCTCCACCACGTTCGCCGAACTTCTCCCCCCACGGAGGCAACCATCCAACTTTTACCTTCGCTGCCCTCACCGGGCAGTCCTTCAACCAATGTCCCCTCTCCCCGCACTCAGTGCACTTCCCTTCCTTCTTCCTTGTCTCCCTCAGCTCGGGAGGTGGTCTGGGCCATTGTCGGCGAAGTTTGTCGGCATTCGACGGAATGGTCTTGACCTGCGTCAATGTAATAGTCGCTTGCACCCCAGGCTGCGCCAAAGTTTGCCTCCCTTCCCCTCTCTTCTCCTCCCTTCTGTCCGCCTTCTGATTATCCACCACTAGTACTTCCCTTACCCCCGTCTCTTTCTTCTTCTCCGCAACCTTC